TGAATGTCTCCAGAGATGGAGACTCCACAACCTCTCTGGGAAGCCTGCTCCAGTGCTCTGTCACCCTCACAGTGAAAAAAAATGTTCATTATGTTTACATGGAACCTCCTGTGCTCCAGCCTGCACCCACTGCCCCTCATCCTGTCACTGGACAGAGAAGAGAAGAGCCTGGCTCTGCCCTCTTGACACTCATTATTGAGGTCGCCCCTCAGTCTCCTCTTCTCCAAGCTAAGGAGACCCAGCTCCCTCAGCCTTTCCTCTCAGGGAGATCAAATCTAGACAGGAAAATATAGGTTGGAGATCTTCACATACTGTTTCTTTGAGGACTACCGTGCCTTTGAGTCTGCCACAGGTGACATGAAAAGCCAAAGCATAGGTCCAATACAAAAATTAATAATCTATTGCAAGGTACGCTTTATTGCAGGCAGTCATACTTAGATGGCCAGATTACAACAGTGGCAAAAATGTAATCTCTCATCTCTACCTGCCAAGAAACTTTCCCATGTAAGACTTGACCATAACTGTTCATCAGTTGGGACCCACACACCATGGTTTTTTAATTCACTGCAGCTGACAGTGAATGCAGAAACTCAGTTTGCACAGACTGACGATAGGAGAGAATCACTGTTTTTCTGTTCCTGCACTTCTCCTGGTTTACGCTGCAAGTTTTACTCCTATTTTTCTGAAGAACTATTGACTCAAACTCTGAGGTATGATAAAGATGTTTGATGTATGAGTCATTAGGTAAGTACACTAGTCTGAAGTAATGCAGATCAGAAAGCTGAGGATAAATCACAAAAGGACCCAAAGAAAACAGGCTTTCTGAGCCAAGGAGAAATTAGGTAGCATCATTAGGCAAGTCTGAGAAGCTTCTTCAGAAAAGACCTTTTTTAGCAGTGAAACTCACAATCCTAGTGTCGGGAAAAAACATAAGGAATTGCAACAGGGAGCCACATACCTTTGCAGAAGGAACTGACATTTTCTGTAATGGATTATTGCAACATGGGTTACAATGAGTGGAAAATAAACAGCTGCTGCTTACTTTTATATTGTATTTACTGTTTTGCTTTTTTTTTTTATATTTAAGAGAAGTGCATCGATATTCTGGAGGAGCACAAGATCCTGCCTGTCAATAATAACTCTGTATTAATAAAATCAGTGCAATTTAATGTCATTAAAGATATACAAGTGGCAAGTGGGATTGCGTTTAGAAAAATATAGGAAAATACCAACTCTAGCTTTCAGTTCCTAGTGACATGAAGGCCACTGTTAGGAACTAGGCAAGAACACTCATCTGAGAGTACAGATGGACTCATTAGTAGCATTGATTATGACAATATCCAATGTGATTTGAACATTTTTGTTGAACTACTTAGACTGTAGGTGGGTGCAGCATTAAACCTGGATGACCTTACTCCCTTTTACAGAGAAGGATTTCCATTTAATTTTAAAGTCTACTTCATGCTGCAATACGACATTTCTATCATCCTTTCAACGATGAAAATCCAACCAATTTGTTTTGCTTTAATTGCATTGAGTCACATTGTCCAGAGATGCAGTAAGGAAAATGCTGAGTTTCATTATGTTATTCCTTTGTGATATTAAATTGGACTTACATTATTTTTCTTAACAATATTCATAAAGTAAAATCATAAGCATGCCTGTGGAATTTGAATATTTTCACACGTCAGTTGCACAGAAGAAACAGCTTTTAGGAGAAGGCTTTTAGAAGTTCTTGCACTCTGCAGCCTGAGGCAACCAATGCACAACACAGAAGGGAACCATGGACTGGAAGAGTACTCTGGCCTGTGCCAATTGAGGAGACAGCACGTCATCTTCATGGCATTCTTACTTCCTTTAATATCCGGTGATCTGCAAATGCTCTGTCTTGTAACTCACTTGCATATTGGAAAACTAAGTTTTTCTGCCTGAACACACATTGGCTTGAGTAAGTCTTCAAGTAAATGGTCATCATGAATAAGTGTTAAAATTTTACTTTAAAGCAAAATTGGTGTATTAGCCTGAGGTTAGCCCTTGCAATAGTGTCATTTTGACAAATGTACATTGGAGACACAGTGTGAAATCCAGGAAATGCTCACAGGAACTTTCCCCTAAACAAAAAAAGACTGAAATTCAAAAAGGAGTAATTTTGACTTTCTTAGAAAAGTTGTATTTCAATATTGTTTGACTTAAATTTTTTTAACAGATCTCCAGATGCATACAGGTGTAAGGAGTTATCTTTACCTACTAATTGTCTGAAAACTCTGATTAAAGTCTGAGTAAAGGGGAATACTTTGACAGAAAGGTGCTTTAATGTAGCTAG